GTCAAAATAGGCAGACGGCGCTCGCAGCCAACTTTCAAATTAGCATTTTGAGGGCAAATATGCAGCAATTTGAGATAATGAGGCCTGATTATTCAATCCAATGAATGTTAAATAGGCAGCGAGGGCGCCCGCGCCTTATCTCCCCCGCTTTCCATTTATTTGACTTTAGTTTAGTTTTAATCGTTTCCCATTTGAACTCTTTATTTGTCTCGGCTCAGGCCCCTTCCCCCACAGCCCCACCGCTCCCTCCTTCCCTTCCCGGGCATCCCGCGCTGCCAGCTGGGATTGTGCCCTGCCAGCCCTTCCCAGGGCACTGGGACAAGTGCTGCTGCTTGTATTCCAAGGAATTGGGGCTGGGGGAGCTTTGGGTGTTGCTGTCAGTCCCGGTGTCCGGGTTTGGGGAGTTGTTTTGGTGGTTTGGGAATATTTGCAGGGACGTGCATCCTTGGGAAGAGATGCCATGAACACTGGAACGTTGTGAGTTGGAAGGGAACAAAAAGCTCACCCAGTTCCATGGCAGGGACACGCTCTGCAGGTGGGCTCTCACCTGAGGGGCACAGGGACACAATTCCCACCTTCCTGCTGCCACCAGCCCAGGCACGGGGGGCTCTGCAGGTGGGCTCTCACCTGAGGGGCACAGGGACACAATTCCCACCTTCCTGCTGCCACCAGCCCAGGCACCGGGGGCTCTGCAGGTGGGCTCTCACCTGAGGGGCACAGGGACACAATTCCCACCTTCCTGCTGCCACCAGCCCCGGGCTGAGCAGGGGGTTTTTGGGTCATTTCCAGCCTCTCCCACCTTCGAGGTGCTGCATTCCCAACTCTGGCTCTTCCTTCACCCCTTCCCTTCCCTGCAGGGCTGGCGCTGCTGTCGCTCCCATCCCGGCTCTTGGCTCCACCACAAAATGGATCCAGAGACCCATCGAGCCCTGGGAATGGGATCCCAGCCTTGGGAATGGGATCCCAGCCTTGGGAATGGGATCCCAGCCCCAGGAATAGGATCCCAGCCTTCCCAAGCCAAGCCTGGCTTGGCATCCCCAATCCCATCTCAATCCCATCCCAATCCCAATCCTAATCCTAATCCTAATACCAATCCCAATACCATCCCATCCCATCCCAATCCCAATCCCATCCCATCCCAATCCCAATCCTAACGCTATCCCTGCCCATCCCATCCCAATCCCAATCCCATCCCAATCCCATCCCAATCCCAATCCCATCCCATCCCAATCCCAATCCCAATCCCATCCCAATCCCAATCCCATCCCATCCCATCCCATCCCATCCCAATCCCAATCCCATCCCATCCCAATCCCAATCCCGTCGCTCCCGCTGTTCCTGCGGAGCTTTCCTGCTCTCCCATGAAAATCCCATTTCTCTGCAGCCCAACAAGATCCCCCATCCCAGGGAGGGGCAGCTCCAGGCTGGGCAGCTCCTGGGGTGAGCAGCTGCTGCTCCCATTGGGATGGACAGAGGGATTTTGGACCAAAAGTGTGGAAAAAGAGGAAAAAGTCATTGCATCGGTGTGGTTTTCCAGCTCCCCCCGGGATGGAGCTGGCTTTGTTGGGAGTCCACTCCCAGGGCTTTAGGGGAGCATCAGGGTGGGCTGGGGCAGGGACATTCCCTGCAGGAGGGGGAAGAAAAAATTAAGTTAAAAAATATTGAAGGAAAGGTTAAAGCTGATGGAGAAACTAAAGGAAAATAATTGAATTACTCAAAAATTGAAGGAACGGTTAAAGTTGAAGGAGAAATGAAAGGAAAAAATTGAATTAAAATTGATGGGGAAAAATGAAATTAGAGCAGAAATTAAAGCCAAAGCAAAAATCGATGTTAAAACAAAAATTAAACGTGAAGGAAAATTTAAAGCAAAAAAATTTGAAGTTGGAGCAAGAATTAAAGGAAAATGTCACCCAGCCCAGGCTCGCTGAGGATGCTGCAAAGGATCCCTGTGTTCCCTTTGATTCCAGAGTGGAATAAAAAATACAGTAATTGATTTAGGGGTAATTAAAAACCCTCCTTATGCGTCAAATGCAAAGGTGAGCGTGAAATCAAATACAAGATAAATAAATAGGAGCAGGGCAGGGAAGGTGAAGGGAGACAGAGAAAAATCCCAATTATGGAGGTAAAAGATGGGAAGTGGCGGAGAGGAGGAGACGTGCTGGGAGCAGAGATAATCAGAGCATAAAAAACGGGGAAAAACAATCAAAAGAAGGGAAAATCAAAAGCAGATGCTGAGGAGGGATAAGGGGCAGCAGTGGAGAGGGAGCAGGCCCTGGACTGCGGGATAATTGGATCTGAGTTCATCGGGGGGATAAGCGTTCCCAGGAAGGGCCTGCTCCCTGCAAGGATGTTTAAATTCGGGATGGGAATGGGAAATGGGGAATGGGGAATGGGAATGGGAATGGGGAATGGGAATGGGAATGGGAATGGGAATGGGAAATGGGAATGGGAATGGGGAAGGGGAATGGGGAAGGGGAATGGGAATGGGAAATGGGAATGGGAATGGGAAATGGGAATGGGAAATGTGGAATGTGGAATGGGAAATGTGCAATGGGCTCCTCCTGCACTGGGCGGCTTCAGCCCCCTCAGCTGCTGTGGGGCCAGCAGGAACCCCAAGGGAAGGGGAGGGACACGGGGTCACGGGATGAGGGGGCTGGAAGGGACCTCAGAGAGTGCTTGGTGTCCCCTCCCAGTGTCCCCTCTCAGTGTCTCCTCTCTGTGTCCCCCTCCCCTCTCTGTGTCCCCTCTCTGTGTCCCCTCTCGGTGCCCCCCTCCCCTCTCAGTGTCCCCTCCTAGTGTCCCCTCTCAGTGTCCCTGCTCAGTGTCCCCTCCTAGTGTCCCCTCTCAGTGTCTCCTCTCTGTGTCCCCTCTCAGTGTCCCCCTCCCCTCTCAGTGTCCCCCTCCCCTCTCATTGTCCCCTCTCTGTGTCCCCTCTCAGTGTCCCCTCTCTGTGTCCCCTCTCGGTGTCCCCTCTCGGTGCCCCCCTCTCCTCTCTGTGTCCCCTCTCGGTGTCCCCTGTCTGTGTCCCCGCGCTGGAGCGGAACGGGCGCGCCGGGAGCGGTGGCAGCGGTGGCAGCGGTGGCAGATGGCAGTGATAGGGCAGGGCTGGCACGGCTCCGCCGCCCCGGCCGCCCCTTATCGCGGCGGCATCGCGGCCTGACCTTGCCCCGGGCACGGAACGGCGGCGGGGCCGGAGCTGCGGGGTGTAACGGGACACTGGGGACACTGGGAGGGGACACGGGCACTGGGGCCCCGGCCCTCGCCCGGCCCGGCCTGGGAAACGCTCCCGGCGGGGAGGGGTGGGAAGGGTGCGCGGGGCTGGGGGCCACCGGGGATCGGCTGGGGGGACACCGGGGATCGGCCGGGGGGACACCGGGGATCGGCCGTGGGGACACCGGGATCGGCCGTGGGGACACCGGGGATCGGCTGGGGGGACACCGGGGATCGGCTGGGGGGACACCGGGATCAGCCGGGGGGACAGCGGGGATCGGTCAGAGACACCGGGGGTCGGCCGGGGGGACACCGGGATCGGCCGTGGGGACACCGGGGGACAGTCGGGGACACTGGGGATTGGCCGTGGGGACACCGGGGATCGGCCTTGGGGACACCGGGGGACAGCCGGGGACACCGGGGATCGGTCAGGGACACCGGGGATCGGCCTTGGGGACACCGGGGATCAGCCGGGGGGACAGCGGGGATCGGTCAGAGACACCGGGGGTCGGCCGGGGGGACACCGGGATCGGCCGAGGGGACACTGGGGGTCGGCCGTGGGGACACCGGGGGACAGCCGGGGACACCGGGGATCGGCCGTGGGGACAGCGGGGATCGGCCGTGGGGACACCAGGGGACAGTCGGGGACACCGGGGAGCTGCTCCCGGTGCGCCTGGCCACGGCAGAACGGCCCCGGGGGGCTCCGGCAGCCGGGGGGGCGCACACAGGAGTGGGGTGGGCAGGGAACAGCTGGGGATGGGCACAGCTGGACATGGGCACACCTGGGGATGGGCACAGCTGGACATGGGCACAGCTGGGGATGGGCACAGCTGGACATGGGCACAGCTGGGGATGGGCACACACCTGGGAATGGGCACACCTGGGCATGGGCACACCTGGGGATGGGCACACCTGGACATGGTCACAGCTGGGGATGGGCACAGCTGGGCATGGGCACACCTGGACATGGGCACACCTGGGGATGGGCACAGATGGGGATGGGCACAGCTGGGCATGGGCACACCTGGGGATGGGCACAGCTGGACATGGACACACCTGGGGATGGGCACAGCTGGGGATGGGCACAGCTGGACATGGGCACAGCTGGGGATGGGCACAGCTGGGGATGGGCACAGCTGGGGATGGTCACAGCTGGGGATGGACACACACCTGGGGATGGGCACAGCTGGGCAGGAGCACACTTGGGCACAGACACTCCTGTGTGCTTGTATGTACATGGCACACCTGAACATGGACACACCTGAACATGGACACACCTGTGCAGGGACAAACCTGAACATGGACACACCTGTGCAGGGACACACCTGTGCTCGCACTCATGCGGGTCTGGGGGACAGACAGGCAGAGTCACACCGGGGATGCGGTGCCGGGGTGCCCTGGGCTGTGGCAGTGTGTGTGTCACGGGTGTGACCGCAGGGTGTGACCGCAGGGTGTGACCGTAGGGGTGTGACAGCAGGGGTGTGACTGCAGGGGTGTGATCACAGGGGTGTCACTGCAGGGGTGTGACCGTAGGGGTGTCACTGCAGGGGTGTGACCGCAGGGTGTGACCGCAGGGTGTGACCGCAGGGGTGTGACCGCAGGGTGTGACCGTAGGGGTGTGACCGTAGGGGTGTGATCAGAGGGGTGTCACTGCAGGGGTGTGATCACAGGGGTGTCACTGCAGGGGTGTGACTGTAGGGGTGTGATCAGAGGGGTGTGACCGTAGGGGGTTGATCACAGGGGTGTGACGTCAAGGGTGTGACCGCAGGGGTGTGACCGCACTGTCTCCCGGCCCTGCCCCGCCCCGCCCGGCCCTGTCCGGCCCCTTCTCCCGGCCCGGCCGCTTCTCCCGGCTCTGCCCCGCCCGGCCATGGCGCTGCTGCGGGCGGCCGCGCTGCCCGCTGAGGGCTGCCCGGCCTGGCTGCCCACGCACGTCCAGGTGACGGTGGTGCGGGCCCGCGGGCTGCGCTGCAAGGGCGGCGGCAAAGGCAAAGCGGGCGGCAGCGACGCGTACACCGTGATCCAGCTGGGCCGCGAGAAGTACAGCACCTCGGTGGCCGAGAAGAGCGGCGGCAGCCCCGAGTGGAGGGAGGAATGCGCCTTCGAGCTGCCCCCCGAGCCCGGGGCCTGCGCCGAGCTGGTGCTCACCGTGATGCACCGGGCGCTCGTGGGCATGGACCGCTTCCTGGGCCAGGCCCTGGTGCCGCTGGAGCCCGCCCGGCTGCGCGGCCGCGAGCCCGACGAGCGGTGAGTGAGGGGCGGCCCCGGGTGGGGGGCACAGGGTCCCAGGGTGGGCACACGGACCCCCCCCCGTGCCCTGGGACTGGTGTCCTTGGGTCCTCGTGTGTCCCAGGGTGGTGTCACGGCGTCCCCGGGTACCCCTGGAGGGCCATTGGGGTCACTGTGTGCCCCAGGGTGGGCACATGGAATCCCCCAGAGCCCTGGCATGGCTGTCACTGGGTGGGCACGGTGGGCACACGGACCCCCCAGTGCCCTGGCGTGGCTGTCACTGGGTGGGCACGGTGGGCACACGGACCCCCCAGTGCCCTGGCGTGGCTGTCACTGGGTCAGTGTGTGCCCCAGGGTGGGCACACAGACACCCCAGTGCCCTGGCATGGCTGTCACTGGGTCAGTGTGTGCCCCAGGGTGGGCACACAGATACCCCCAGTGCCCTGGCATGGCCGTCACTGGGTGGGCAGGGTGGGCACACGGACCCCCCAGAGCCCTGGCATGGCTGTCACTGGGTGGGCACGGTGGGCACACAGACAGCCCCAGAGCCCTGGCATGGCTGTCACTGTGCCCAGGGTGGGCACACAGACACCCCCAGAGCCCTGGCATGGCTGTCACTGGGTCACTGTGTATCCTAGGGTGGGCACACGGACCCCCCAGAGCCCTGGCATGGCTGTCACTGGGTGGGCACCGTGGGCACACAGACACCCCCAGTGCCCTGGCATGGCTGTCACTGGGTCAGTGTGTATCCTAGGGTGGGCACACAGATACCCCCAGAGCCCTGGCATGGCTGTCACTGGGTGGTCACTGTGTGCCCCAGGGTGGGCACCGCGGGGTCCCTGGCTCCCCAGGACGGCTGCTGGAGGAGGAAGGGCATCAGGGCTTCCCGGGCACCCTCGGGACGTGCCGCGGGGGTTGGGGTGTGGCGGGTCCAGGCGTGCCCGTCTGGGCTCTCCGGGGGGCTCACGGTGGCCGGGGGTGCCCTGGGGAGGGGTCCCCGGGCAGGGCTGGCTGTGTGACCCCCCGGAAGGACTGGGGGCATGGCAGGGCCGGGGGATGCCCCGGGAAGGACGTGTCCCTGTGTCCCCGGGAGGGAATGTGCAGGACAGGGCACCGGAGCATCCATCCCCGGGCAGGCACAGCGCCGACAGGGCTCTGTCCCTCCTGGGCAGCCACAGCCTGGTTTGAGACGGAGTGTCCCCAATTTGGGGTCCGGACCCCAGCCCCGTGCTGCCCCCAGCACAAATCCCGTGCGTGGGGGGAACTGCTGATCCTCCTCCTCCTTCCCCAGAAGGGCTTACAACAATCAGAATGTTTCCGAGCCTTTGCCAAGCACAGAAGCGCAGGAATGCGGCTGGAATTCCTTTGGGGAAGGAGTTTTGGGGGCTTTGTTGAGGCAGAGCTGGCAGTGCCCCCTGCTCCCTGGCCCCCAGTGCCGGCAGTTGTGCTGGCGTGCTGCCCGAAGCTGCGGCCTTGGAGAGGAGCCTGCCTCGCCCTCCCTCCGGGGAGCAGCAGCAGGACGGGCTGGGAGAGCTCTGCCCGTGCAGAAATCAGCTCCCAGCCCAGAGCGGGAGCCTGGAGCCGGCCGGCAGCTCCCCCCGCCTTTATTCTGCTGTTCCTAGCAAAACACCGCCATTCCTGGGCCCTGGTGGAAACCAGCACCACTGCAGGGGCTGGGACAGCCACGGGGGATGTGGGACAGCCCCTGGCCTGGGGAGAGCCCTGCCCTGGGAGGGGATGCTGTGGGGCTGTGCAGAGCAGGAGCCCTGCCCTGGGAGGGGATGCTGTGGGGCTGTGCAGAGCAGAGGGCAGGAGCCCTGCCCTGGGAGGGGATGCTGTGGGGCTGTGCAGAGCAGGAGCCCTGCCCTGGGAGAGGATGCTGTGGGGCTGTGCAGAGCAGGAGCCCTGCCCTGGGAGGGGATGCTGTGGGGCTGTGCAGAGCAGGAGCCCTGCCAGGGCTGCTCCTTGCTCTTGGTGTCCCAAAGGTCTCGTCAGGGGCTGTTAATCCCACGGGAGCAATGTCCAGCCTGTGTCAGCCCGTGACACCAATCCTGCAGCCAAGGGGGGAGCCAGGCTGTGAGGCTGGACATGCCCAGGGGCTTGGAGAAGGCTGCAGGGAGACATTCCAGCACCTTCCAGGGCCTGAAGGGGCTCCAGGAGAGCTGCAGAGGGACTGGGGACAAGGCCTGCAGGGACAGCACACAGGGAATGGCTCCCACTGGCAAAGGGCAGATTGGGCTGGGATCTTGGCAAGGAATTCCTGGCTGGGAGGGTGGGCAGGGGCTGGGCTGGAATTCCCAGAGCAGCTGGGGCTGCCCCTGGATCCCTGGCAGTGCCCAAGGCCAGGCTGGACACTGGGGCTGGGATCCACCTGGGAGAGGGGAAGGGATGGAATGGGATGAGCTTCCAGCCCAGCCCATTCCATGATTCTCCCATTTGCTGTCTCTCTCCCTCCCTCCCTTCCTGTAGCTTTGCTTGCATAAGGAAAATTCACTTCCCCTTGAGGCAGTCAGAATCACAGGAGCTTTTAAAACTCTGTTTTCACCCGTGGCCCCGAGGATGGAAACGAGGAAACGAGCACGGAAAACACCACGGAAGCTCTCACCCTGTGCCCCGAGGGTGGGTGGCACCTCTGCAGCCTGGAGGGGCCACGCTGGTTTTTGGAGGAGAATCCCAGGGGCTGGAGCTTGTCCAGCTGGGTGGGAGAAGGATCGTGGGGAGCTCAGGGGCTTCTGGCTCTTTGGGAGCTTCCAGCCGGCTCCGACGCCTGGAAACAACTTTGTTCAGGAGGAAACTTCCAGTCCCAGATTAGAAAGAGCAAAACAAACAGAGGCTCCCACCCTGGGGCTGGCCCTGCTGGGCCCAGGCAGGCCTGTGCTGGGGAGATAACGGGGCTGTGGGGCTGAGCTCTGCCCTGGCTGCTGGGATCCCATCCTCGCCCTGCTGCCAGGCCAGGGGAGCCTGCTCCAGCACAGCATCCCTTGTCAGGGTGGTGGGTGACCTTGCTCTCATTTCCCTGCAGGTTTTTATTGCACAGGAACTTGAGCAGTGATAATTGTTATCCTTGTTTTCGGCTGGCTGGAAAACGTTCCGTCAAGCTTGGACTCTTCCCCGGGGCTGTTTACGAGCTCCTCGTGCTGCTCAGCCTGGGTCACTTCGGTGCTTTGCCAGGGGAAAATCAGCTCCTGGAGTTGCACAAGAGCAGCCTGAGAGCTCTCATGGCCTTTCTGGGCATCCCAGGGTTTGTCCCACTGCTCAAGCAGCTCTGGGGATCGGGCTTGGCAGCAAAGCAAGCTCTGAGCATCATTTCCCCCTTTGCATTGAGCCTTTGTGCATCCACAGAGCCCTGGGCAGGATCTCCTGGTCCTCACCTCCCTCCCTGCCTGATCCTGCACTGCCCTGCCCTGTGCTCAGTCCCTGCAAAGCCAGGGTCCAGGAAAAGAGGGATTTTTGGGAACTCACAAGGCAGCTGTTGCTTCTGCTTCCCAACATCCAGGGAATGCCCTTGGAGTCCCCCGTGGGGCTCATCCTGTGGGGTGGCAGCGAGCCAGGGACTGTGCCCTGCACGCCCAGCCCATCAGCTGGCACCTGGGAAAGCTGGGAGGGCATCCAGAGAAACAGACGCCAGGCTGGGTCCTGGGCAGGATCTCCTGGTCCTCACCTCCCTCCCTGCCTGATCCTGCACTGCCCTGTCCTGTGCTCAGTCCCTGCAAAGCCAGGGTCCAGGAAAAGAGGGATTTTTGGGAACTCACAAGGCAGCTGTTGCTTCTGCTTCCCAACATCCAGGGAATGCCCTTGGAGTCCCCCGTGGGGCTCATCCTGTGGGGTGGCAGCGAGCCAGGGACTGTGCCCTGCACGCCCAGCCCATCAGCTGGCACCTGGGAAAGCTGGGAGGGCATCCAGAGAAACAGGGTTCCATCCCAGACACCGGGCTGGGCTTGCATGGAATCAGAGAATCCTGCAGTGGTTTGGGTTGGAAGGGGCTGTAAAAGTCACCCAGTGCCACCCCTGCCATGGGGACACCTCCCACTGTCCCAGGTGCTCCAGCCCCAGTGTCCAGCCTGGCCTTGGGCACTGCCAGGGATCCAGGGGCAGCCACAGCTGCTCTGGGCACCTGTGCCAGGGCCTGCCCACCCTGCAGGCAACAATTCCTAATTCCCAAGATCCCATCCATCCCTGCCCCCTGGCAGTGACAGCCATTCCCCGTGCTCTGTCCCTGCAGGCCTTGTCCCCAGCCCCAATCCAGAGGATCTGGAGACCCTTCCCTTGGCCCAGGTTTGGCACCCCTTGGGAGAACAGCAAGAGAGGGGACACTGAGCGGGACAGGAGGTGCCTGGGGACACCTGCAGGGCTGGACCTTGGATCTCCCTGCCTGGGGAACCCAAAATACCCTTGACTGGCAGGGTGAGGGTGAGGCTGATGCTGGAGGAAGCAGCTGAGGCCCAGGGTTTCCTGGGCTGGCTAAAGCTGGTCCTTAGCTGCCATTCCCTGGTCCCTCCCTCTCTGAAGACCAAAATACCCTTGACTGGCAGGGTGAGGGTGAGGCTGATGCTGGAGGAAGCAGCTGAGGCCCAGGGTTTCCTGGGCTGGCTAAAGCTGGTCCCTCCCTCTCTGAAGGACCTTTTCCATTTGTCTCCTGTCCCACAGATCTCCCAGCCCTGGCACAGGGGAAAGGTTGAAGGTGGCAGCACGAGCTGCCAGGGCTCAAAGCCCAGGGCTGGGATCTGTGTCTGAGGGGCAGTGGGTGCAGCAGCAGTCAGCATTCCATTCCTGGCTCTGCTTTTCCTGCAGTGACTTGCACTTGCTCCAGACAGAGAACTCGTCTGGGGGAGTTGTTCCCTCTGCAGAATTAGCTCAGCTCTGACTTCCCCAAAGCCCTTCCGTGCTGCACTTCCCTCTTCTGGTTCCCCTTCCTGCCCAGCTGTGGGGGCACCTGCTGCTGGGGGGCCCTGGGGGCTGCCAGAGCCTGGGGCTCTCCTCCCTCCCCACCAGCACAGGACCTTTCCTTTGGCTGCCAA